AGAAAGTGTGGTGATTGGGAGGTACATAATGCATCTCCATCAGGCAGGATGTGAAATCCACCACACAACATGTTGCAGCTGCAATTAAAAGGAAAGAAAGGGAAAAGGTCTAGTGTTTCTTTCTATAAAAGTCACTGGCAGATTGAGAAAAGGAACAAAAACATCACCTCCTGCTGAGGCTCCTGACAAAGGGCAGGGAAGAGAGGAGACTTGCAGAGGTAGAGGATATTTGAAGTGTGCCATGTAGATAAGAAGAAGAGGCTGCTGCGTCAACCCAATGGCCTCTGTAGACCAACATCCTGTTTTCATAGAGGCCAGGCAGATATCAGGTGCCGGAGACAGGAGTAAGTCAGCAATAAAACACCCTGTGTCAGTGAAATTAATTCTTCTTTCAAAGAAACCAAAACTGGTTGTTATGTACTAAGCTTGGATCCTAGAACAATAGGCAAGTAGGATCCTAGAATGCAACAACTGATTGGCCTGCAGGAAAAGACCAATCAGGCTCCAGGAGGGAAGCAGAATCAGCCAATCAGACGGGACTCATTGTGTAAATACCTGAAGGAGCGTCTCCACCCCCATCGTTCAGCCCAGACACTGAGGTCCAGCACTGAGGGCCTTCTGGCGGTTCCCTCGCTGCGACAAGCCAAGTTACAGGGAACCTTCTCGGTAGTGGCACCCGCCCTGTGGAATGCCCTCCCACCAGATGTCAAAGAGAAAAATAACTACCAAACTTTCAGAAGACATCTAAAGGCAGCCCTGTTTAGGGAAGCTTTTAATGTTTAATAGGTTATAGTATTTTAGTGTTTTGTTGGAAGCTGCCCAGAGTGGCTGGGGGGACCCAGCCAGATGGGCGGGGTATAAATAATAAATTATTATTGTCAGAGCTGGCTCCAGGTCCCAGCTCACAGAGGACCAACGCTAGCCGGCAGTAATGTACAAAAGTCTTTATTGAAGTACAGTTTCCATTTTCAAGCCGCAGCGCCCCAGCTCTACGCCTAGGGGTTAGTTCGGCGAAGCTCCATCTGAGTCTCCGGCCCCTGTACTGCAGTTTAGGATTCGAGCCTTACTCCACCTCTTACGCCTCTCCTTTCTCCTCTGGGTCCTGCTACCCCCCGGGGTCCCTTCCTTCCTGGATTCTTCTGACGCTGACGTTGACCCCCTGACTCCTCCCCTCTTTTCGGCGGGCTTTGGGACCTGGCTCCTATCCGGGCTGCCAACTGCGCCGCCCTCCTGTACATTTGAACCTGGCGCGCGCGCCCAGCCTTCAACCTTCCTCTCGACCGCTTCCTCGCTCCCCGATGGAGGCGTGGCCAATCCTGACTCATGTCCTCCCACTGGCAGTGCGCCGCCTGATCCCGATGCCTGGGACCCTCCCCCTACTGCACTCTGGTGTGGACGCTGGTCCTGATTTCCAACTGCTGCTCTCTGAGTCCCCTCTGGCCCCTTCTTCCTGGGGTGTCCCCTCGGCACCCCCTTGCTCTGACCAAGGGAGCCCCTTTCTGTGAATCTTCCGATTCGCTGGAAAGACTCAGAGACCTCGGACCGCTGTCATCGCTAACATTTCCTTCGGACTCCTCCCCCTCGCTCTCTATTTCCTCCCTTTCCTGTGCCTCTGCTCCTGAACCCCTGACATCCATTATTAATGATAATAATAATAATAATATAAAAGCCTGAGATTTGGGGGGGGGGGATTCAATCACTGTTTTACAAGCTGCAATAAAGAGCATGAAATCACTACAGGAGTCCGAGTATATCTCACTAGTGATCACAGCAACTGTTCCCAACAGGTCTTCCCCAATGAGGCAGTTGTGAGGGCCTTCCCACCGTTCCCTAAGACTCCTTCTTCACAGGGTCCTTCCCAAATCTCTGGGTCCTTTGTCTAGTCCCTTGTTGCTCCACCCTCTTCATTCCACTACATGTTCTGGGAGCTGACCACAGCAGGAGAGGGCAGTTCCCTGGATTTTGCAGCAGCCTGCCCCATCTCTGTTTCCTGGCCCTCCTCCTCTCCTACATCTGATTCTGGACTGCTCTCTGCCCCAGCCTCTTCCTGCTCACTAAACCCTGTTGCCTCTACAGCTTCTGACACCTCCTCCTCCCAGTCTTCTCCCTCTTCTCCCTCTGACCACTTGTCTTCATCCCACCATCAGTTCCCTGGCCCTGGGCCTTCTTCCCCTGGGGGTTCCCTTGGGGGTCCACCAGCTGGTGCCTCCCACCATTCCTCTTCAGGCAGTCTGTGACACCAGGTCCCCAAAGGATACTCAGAGAAGAACATCATGTAATAGGACTCTCATAAGAACATCAGAAGATATTGCTGGGTCAGGCTAAAGGCCCATCTTGTCCAACATTCTGTTCTCAGAGTGGCCAACCAGATGCCCTAGGAAGACCAGAGCAGAGTTTCAGTGCAGTGCAATTCACTTAAGAAGAGACCTGCAGGATCAGGCCAAAGGACCATCTACTCCATTATCCAGGAGCAATTCATTCTCACTGTGGCCAACTGTGAAAAACCTGTAAGCAGCACCTGAGTTCAATAACCCCTTTCCACAGCTGTCATTCCCAGACCATCCAAGTGTCTCTATTTTCCAGGGACAGTCCTGGATTTACAGAAGCCGTTCCAGCTTCTGATTTGATCCCAGAATGTCCCACTTTGCCTTAGGACGTCCCTATTTTTTTTGGAGAAGTATTACAGTGTACGGAGTTATGTGACCCCCAAGCCAAGGAGATAAGTAACTAGACAACCTTTAAAAGACAACTGAAGGGAGTTCTGTGTGGGGAAGTTTTTTAATGTTTTATTATGTTCAGTGCTTTTTTTTCTTTAAAAATGTTTAGGGGTACTCTCAGTTTGACTCAAGAAAATCACCATTTTATACTTCAAATCCGGAAAAATAAATACAGTAAATGGACAAAAGTACAAAGAACATTCATTCTCTCACATTACCTCATTTTATCACACATCCACATTCCACACTGCTTCACACATTAAACGCCCGCTTCCATCTGTGACTCAGGAAACACCATGGCAGGAATTGAGGCCGCCATCAGGGGTAGCAATGGAACTGACAATTCACCGTGCTAGAGAAGAAACTAATTTTTTTTAAAAAAGTCTGATTGTGTGTGTGTGTGTGTGTACATACACACACACACACACACACACATACACACACAGTGGTACCTTGGGTTGCAAACGCTTCAGGTTACAAACTCTGCTAAATAGGAAGTAGTACCTCGGGTTACAAACTTTGGCTCAGGATGAGAACGGAAATCGCATGCCAGTGGCATGGCGGCAGCAGAATGCCCCATTATGAAAGCGTGCCTCAGGTTAAGAACGGTTTCAGGTTAAGAACGGATCTCTGGAACGAATTAAGTTTGTAACCCGAGGTACCGCTGTGTGTATATATATGGGACTCGGGTGGCACTGTGGTCTAAACCACTGAGCTTCTTGGGCTTGCCAATCAGAAGGTTGGCGGTTCAAATTCCCATGACGAGGTGAGCTCCCATTGCTCGATCCCAGCTCCTGCCAACCTAGCAGTTTGAAAGCACGCCCAAAAAAAAGGTTCAAGTAGATAAATAGGTACCGCTCCAGCGGGAAGGTAAACAGTGTTTCCGTGTGTTGCTCTGGTTTCAGTGTTCCGTTGCGCCAGAAGCAGCTTAGTCATGCTAGCCACATGACCCTGAAAAACTGTCTGCGGACAAATGCCGGCTCCCTCGGCCTGTAAAACGAGATGAGCACCACAATCCCTGAGTCGTCTGCGACTGGACTTAACTGTCAGGGGTCCTTTACCTTTATATCTATCTATCTATCTGTCTGTCTATCTACCCAGAGTTACTGGGGTAACCCAGTGAAATGGGTGGAGTATAAATAAGAAGAGAAGAGTTTGGATTTGATATCCCGCTTTATCACTACCCTAAGGAGTCTCAAAGCAGCTAACAATCTCCTTTCCCTTCCTCCCCCACAACAAACACTCTGTGAGGTGAGTGAGGCTGAGAGACTTCAGAGAAGTGTGACTAGCCCAAGGTCACCCAGCAGCTACAAGTGGAGGAGCGGAGACACAAACCCAGTTCATCAGATTACGAGTCCACCGCTCTTAACCACTACACCATACCGGCACATCATCAGCACCATCAGCATCAGCATCATTGAATATGACATCCTTATTTTCATCAGAGAAGTGCTGAAGGCTATGGATTTCCAGCAACTGATTTTCATCCTGGGCCTGAGGCCTGACACTCACCACCTGTTTCACTCAATAATGTTTCCCCGAGGAAAGATGAGTTAAAGATAATGAACCCCCAGCCGTTTAAAAACACACTCACAACAAGAAGTCTATATTCGCTCACTTAAGAAGAGTGCAGAGCAGGACCAGATGGTGCGTTCAACTTTGCGATGGCAGCGCCTCTCCGTCACACTGATCAGGGCAGCGTGACACACTTCCCCTTTAAGGCGGCTTCTAGCAAGCCCTGCAACAACAGCAGCAACAAATCGAGCACCATCTTCCAACCTTTCAGATAATCAAATCCTTTCCAATTCTTAATTATTAAAACATTTGTGTGTGTGTGTGTGTGTGTGTGTATGTTTTAAGAAATATTTCCAGCATGACAGATGGAGAACAACCTCGCACTTCTCCGAGAGCTAAAATTAAATGCGGAATAGCTTTATTAAAGAGTAATCAAACTTAAAGGCGGTCCCATATGCTCTGGTTATGCAACTCGGTTTGATGGGCTAAAAATACCCCTGGCAATGCAATTGGCACAATGCAAATGAATCAGAAGGATTTGAAACCTGCGGGACCAGAGATATACAGAAGATTGGAAGAAGTATATGAATTATTTGAAGAGCAACTGTAATCAACAAATTACGCTAGCAGGACTACAAGAAGTTTTGTAAGGAGAAATATATGATGTGTTACAAAGTAGAAAAAGATAGAGATATTGGTTATGAGTTTGAAATGTAATAGGGGAAACAAGAAATGCATACTAAGAGATTAGATTGGAAAATTTTCAGACAGGACTGATGGAATTCAAAAATAATTGAATAAGATGTAGAAGTATGTTTAATTACTGTTGAAAATGATATGTTAAAAAACTAATAAAAATTTGTGTGTGTGTGTGTGTGTGTGTGTGTGTAAAGGTAAAGGGACCCCTGACCATTTGGTCCAGTCGTGACCGACTCTGGGGTTGCGGTGCTCATCTTGCTTTATTGGCCGAGGGAGCCGGCGTACAGCTTCCGGGTCATGTGGCCAGCATGACTAAGCCGCTTCTGGCGAACCAGAGCAGCGCACGGAAATGCCATTTACCTTCCCGCCAGAGCAGTACCTATTTATCTACTTGCACTTTGATGTGCTTTTGAACTGCTAGGTTGGCAGGAGCAGGGACCGAGCAACGGGAGCTCACCTCGTCGCAGGGATTCGAACCACCAACCTTCTGATTGGCAAGTCCTAGGCTCTGTGGTTTAACCCACAGTGCCACCCATGTCCCTATATATAGAAAGAGCAAATGCATTGGAAGAGCAGGGGGATAAGTTTTCTAAATAAGTCCACCTGCTTGGGATGGGGAAAATGCATTACCCCACATCGAAGAAGGAAGATACTAAACAATATTGTGGGTTAAGGGGTCAGAGCTTTGTTAATAACCAAACTCAGTGAGCTCCAGAGAAAATTCATACCCAGCCCCCCAAATGGACAAATGGCTAAGCCCGAACTCTCCAAGGGCAGGTTGATGGGTTGCCACGTCTGCCAGAGTGGAGGCCAACTAGGAGGAACTGGCTTGAAAGGCATGGTCCTTTAATGGTGTGATGCCTGCTCATAAATTCAACTGTAGAATTTTTGGCCCACGGAAATCAGCAATGGCACTCGCTCTCACAGGAGGCAGTGATGGCCCCCAGCTACGATGGCTTTCTAAGAGGGCTTTGCATGGAGGAGAAGACTACTAGCTGCAATGGTGACGTTCTTCTTTCTTTTTCTTCTTTGGCGATCCCTCGTAGCTGAGTAAGATTGTCTCCCATAAACACGGTTTTAACAATGAGTCTGTAAGTGACTGTGGAGGCCAATTCTGGATCCACATGTCCTTTCACAGTGGGGACATTGCTTTCTGGGTGATAATTGATCGTGGTGTGGATTTGCCAAGTGTTCCTTCTTCTTAGCACATTTCTCCCTTGCGTTCTGAGTTCAAGTGTCTTGAAAGCCCATGACACCTTTGGTCAAGGCTGTTCTCCAACTGGAGCGCTCGCAGGCCAGTGTTTCCCAGTTGTTGGTGTTTATACTACATTTTTTAAGATCTGCCTTGAGACAGTCTTTAAACCTATTTTGTTGACCACCAGCATTACGCTTTCCATATTTAAGTTCAGAACAGAGTAGTTGCTTTGGAAGATGATCGTCAGGCATCCATACAACATGACCAGTCCAACGAAGCTGATGTTGAAGAATCATTGCTTCAACACAGGTGATCTTTGCTTCTTCCAGGTCACTGATATTAGTTCGCCTGTCTTCCCAAGTGATGTGTAAAAATTTTCGGAGACACCGTTGATAGAATCTTTTGAGGAACTGGAGATGGCGTTTATAAATGGTCCATGTTTCACAAGCAGACAGGTTGGTACTTCAATAGCTTTGTAAACACGCATTTTGGTTTCCCTGTGAATGTCCTCGTCCTCAAACACTCTGCACTTCAATCAGGAGAAAGCCGCACTTGCAGAGCTCAGGCAATGCTGGATTGCAGCATCAGTGTCGGCCCTTGTGGAAAGATAACTTTCCGCCCAGGTAGGAGAAGTGATCGACATTTTCCAACGTTACACCATCAGAGGCTATATAATAATAATAATAATAATAATAATAATAATAATAATAATAAATTTTTTTATACCCCGTCCTCCCCAGCCAAGGCTGGACTCAGGGCGGCTTACAAGCAATAATAAAAACAAGTTGAATGATTACAACTTAAAAACAAAATTAAAATAAAACATTAAAATATTGGAACATTAAAATATTAAAATGTAGCCTCATCGCAGGAGGAGAAGGAAAAGAAAAAAGAAAGAGAGGGAGGGAATCAAACTGGCTCCAAGCCAAAGGCCAGGTGGAACAACTCTGTCTTACAGGCCCTGCGGAAAGAAATCAGACCCTGCAGGGCCCTGGTCTCATGAGGCAGAGCATTCCACCAGGCCGGAGCCAGTGTTGAAAAGGCCCTGGCTCTGATTGAAGCCAATCTAACTTCCTTAGGGCCCGGGACCACTAGGGTGTTGCTATTTATGGACCTTGAGGCTCTCTGTGGGGCATACCAGGAGAGGCGGTCCCGTAGGTACGAGGGTCCTAGGCCGTATAGGGCTTTAAAGGTCAAAAGCAGCACCTTAAATGTGACCCTGTACTCCACCGGGAGCCAGTGCAGCTTGAAAAGCACTGGGTGAATATGCTCCCATGGCAGAGACCCCGTGAGGAGCCTCGCTGCAGCATTCTGCACCCGCTGGAGTTTCTGGGACAGCTTCAAGGGCAGCCCCGCGTAGAGCGAATTACAGTAGTCAAGCCTGGAGGTGTCTCTGAATACCAGCTGTTGGGGAAAGAATTGTTACACCCAGGTTTTGCTTGCAGGCTTCTGTGACATTAACATATGAGAGTGCTGGAGGTGAAATAGTTAAACAAGTTACCCAATCAGAACCCAGGGAGTGGAGTCAGAGGGACTATAAAACTGGCTCTGGGAGGGGCGAAGGGAAGAAGTTCATTGGGAGGTTGGTTGGCGTGGGAGTGAATAGAGTCTATGGGTAGGTTGAGTTAGTGTAGCGAAATAAGCGGAGTCAGGAACAGTTAGGAGCTAGGAAGACAAGTAAATATCTGAGAGGTGGTTTAGTGAGTGAGAGCAGGTAGCGGAAGTTATAGGTCTGGATAGGCACCCCATGATTGTATTTTTTAAAAAAATATTTATTGAAAATTTTTAGAATTACAAAGGAGAACAAAGCAGAAAAAAAGGGAAAAAAAGAAAAAACAAACCACATCAAACAATACAAATTCAAAAAACAAAAATACACCGCAAACACTCAAAACATATCCATCATTCTCAAATCCTCAACTGTCATTACCTTCTTTCTTTGACCTCCTCCTCCTCCCTTTTTTTGTATCCTAGTTATTAATTGTCGCAGCAAATCCTTTCCATATTTCATAATATTCTGTCATTACATTACCTTAATCTATTTTAATCTTATCTTACTATAAAGAACCTTAAAGCTTAAAACTTAAATCTTATTTTTACCAACTTCTCATAACCATAATATTCTTACATAATTCTTTAAACATTTTTGCTAAAGCCAAGTAATTTCTGTTCCAACGTTTTTCTAACATTCATCAATTTTATAAAACAATCCTAGTAGTAAAAAAAAGAAATAAAAACAATCCAGTCTTCATCCAGCGTCCCTTCCTCCTGGTCCCGGGTTTTGTCAGTCCTTATTATCCCATCGATCTAGCGCATTAACCTGGTAACCTTGTATCCGAGGCCCTTAAGTCTCTTCCATGTCCCTTCCGCAGCTCTTCTTCATATTTATAACTGTATTTTCCTTTGTCTCCTGCTCCTTTCACTCGTGGGAACTCCAGCTTAACAATATTTTTGACCCTTCTCGACAAATCAGCCCCTTTTCCATAGTCCACACTAAACTCCATGTGGTATTTAAGAACATGTTTCAAAATCCCTCCAAAATTAAGAGCCCCCACAGCCCCAAACATCTCACGGCCCATTGCCAGACTTGAAAGGTCCAAACATCCCTGCATAGGGGGGGTCTATCCAACCCCCCATTTTCAAACCAAACCAAACTTTATCTTTCCAAATCTGGCAGGCACCCCATGATTGTAATTGACCAATACCGTTTATGAAACCACACGCTTGTTAAATTGCAATAAATAAACAGAAGTTTATGTTCTAATTTAACCCTGACTGGACTCAGTATTGTACCAGCTAGGGCCTGGGTGGGGGCAGCGAGAGATAAAGTGGTGGCACAGGGATGGCGAAACGTCTGGGGACCCTGTGTGATCGCCACAGCTTCTTGTGAGAACAGAGTGCCGGCTCATTCTTTGGCCCTGTGTACTGGCTTTCTCCATGGCTCCCAGATCCTGAATACTCTCTCATTTCAGGCTGCTGCCGGCCATTCAGCCCTGAAAAGCACTAAGTGTGTTTGGACACACTCAGCAATGGCCAGGGGGCAGTGCTTGAAGAGCAGCTAGGGAGTAGCTTCTGGGGGTTGGCGAACCTTTTCCAGTCCAAAGGCCACACCAGCAACCTCACTGGAGCTGCCTATCAATAGTGGGTGGAGCCAGAGGCAAAAGGGGCGGAGCAATGGGAGTGACTCTGACTTTTCAAGTACAGTGGTCCCTTGGTTCTCAAACCTAATCCATTCCAGAAGTCCGTTCCAAAACCAAAGCGTTCCCAAACCAAGGCGCGCTTTCCCATCGAAAGTAATGCTTTCGATTAATCCGTGCCAGGCTTTTAAAAACAACCCCTAAAACAGCAATTTAACATGAATTTCACTATCTAACGAGACCATTGACCCATAAAACGAAAGCAATCATCAATGGACTGTACTATAAAATAAATAAAACAGTACTGTAGATGATAAAAATTAAAATTAAAAAAAATTCTTACCTGCACTGATGATAGTCATTGTTTGGATGGGGGGGCTTTAATCCATTTCTGCAGTCACACAATCAGTCAATCAATCAGGTAGCTGAACTGCGCTCCACACAGTCACAAAAGCAAATTGTACAAATGTTATTAAATTATAAATAAATAAGTGTAGCTCACTGGTTTTATGACTTATGATTGTTTGGAATTTGAATCAGATGGGAGGCACCCAAATCTTTAAAGTGTTTGGGGCCTCAAAGGTCTTAATCTGGCTCTGCGTTGGATATCTAGAGGGGAAGTCACCCCTGTAATTTCGACCCTCTCCTTATCAATCCATCTTCTCAGTCTTGCTTCGCTCAAAGCACCTGACTGTAGCAGCTCAATTCAGTGGCCCTTTTCAAATCAGGATTCTAATTCTGGCCTAATTCCACACTCACTCCTATCCCCCCCCGCCGCCACTTTTGAATTGTTTGACTTGCGACAGCAAAGAGTTTATTACAGTGTCAAGGCAGAATTACCATAATTAAAAAAAAGGCGCTCCGGCAGGTCTGTAGCAGCCGCAGGGTGGGAGCCTTTTCCGTTCGT